CTATGTATGTATGTATATATATATATATTTAAACCTTAAGGTCATTCGCGGTCAAGGCACAAGGTTTCATGGACAAGGCACAAGGCTTCGTGGACAAGGCACAAGGCTTCGCGGACAAGGCACAAGGCTTCGTGCACAAGGCAAGCTTGCCCCCTCTCCCCCCCTCCCCTCCCCCTCGCCTGCTTTGTCCACTTGCTGATGAAAATGTTAACTTTATATTTCCTAATGTTTTGGGATTCTCTGGGTGGGTGGATTTTTTCTAGAGTCGAAGCAGCGGCTCTACTAGATAATGCTCGACCCGGAGCTGCTGAACCCTAAGCCCTAAACCCTAAACCCTAAACCTTAGACCCTAAACCCTAAACCCTACTGTAAACCCTAAACACGACATTCTTGGATCGGAAGACCAGGCACTGGTCGGAACCAACCTCAGCGACGTCCTTTGGGCCTACGCGCTGCAGCTGACGACGCCGCTGACGGTGCCGATGGGTTTTGAGGGTTGAGGGAATTTAGGGTTTAGGGTTTAGGGTTTAGGGTTGAGGGGCTTTAAAGAGGGTTTTCGTGTTGCAAGTCTGGATTTAAGGTCTTGGAGACGGGGATTCAGGTGGCATGTGGTTTAGTTGTAGATGCTTACGTGCGCGCCTCGGCAGCCGAGTCGGCCCAAGCCGCGGGACATGCACGTCGGCTGTCCAAGCGGTGCTCCTCGGAGCTTGCAGTCCGCACGTTGCAGATGCGAAAGGCGCCTGTGGGTTGAGGAACAAGACCCCGGAGAGCAGGCGAACCGCAAAATCGAACCCTTTTATGTCGCGGCGTACGCGAGCTTGGGAATCTATGGCTCGCTGGAGGACGCCGGAAGCACTGTGCTTGCGGTGTCAGCAGGCGGTGCAAACCTTCGGCGCAGCTGTTGTCTGTGCTCGTGTGCTAGTTGCCAAGTGAAGCTTGGGTAGAGTGGTGGGCGCTAAGTACTAGAAATCCGGATCTGGCGCCAAAATTTCATATAGTAGGAGGATTCGGGTTGGGGCAATGATGAATGTGGCAGTGCTTGTTTATCCCGTTACATTGAAGGTAGATGAGTTTGGTTTGATATTGAGGTCTTCTTTGAAACAGGTCAAATCCATCCTCCAGTATCTTAGTGGTTTGAGGATCCTTTTTGGTACGGAGGGTTGAAAATCGTATTAAACGGTTATAATGATTACATGTTAAAACAAGATTATAGATTGCAGTGTATAATGTGCATATATATATAAGCACATATATACATATTTCATTACTAGTATTATGTATTAGCGTGTGTGTGTATATATATATATATTTGTTGCTATGTGAGGGCCGCCAAGAGAGGGTTTCCCACTTTTCTCGCAGCCATCCGAAGGTGACATGAGGGATCCTCGAGGGTGTCCCAAGGGCTGCCGGAGATTCCCAAAGAAATGCGTGTGCAGCAAAAGCAAGTTTGACAGCAAGCCTCTCGCCCCCAAGTTGCCTTAGGGCTTCCTGTGGAGTTCAGGGGGGCCGTCTTTTTTGGAATTGTTTACTTTGGAATTGTTTACGGGTCCGGGGTGCCTTAAGCAGCCCCAAGCCATAGGCCACGCTGGGCCTGTCGCTGACGGTGCCCTTCGGAATGATCTCGGATGTGCTGCTGCGCGGGAAGGCCGTACCCTACGCCCCAAGCCCTGACTTCTCGGCAAGTAGGGAGTCCTAAACACCCCCGAGGCGTTACTCAAAGGAGCCTGACATGTGTTTGGGATATAGGGCGGTCAGTTGTCTCAAATATAGCTTCTTCGAGGTGCCTCTGAACCCGGGGTTTGAAACGTTTCTTCTAGCCTCTGTGCTGAATTCCTGCAAACCCCAAACCCTCCTGAAAACCCAACCCCCAAGCCACAGGCCTAAACTCTAAATCGACACTGCCGACGATGGCGACTGAGTACCTTGAGCTCTACACCCTGAGCCTTAAGCCCCAGACCCGGGGGGGGGTCACCAGCGCATCGCTCGTTAAGCCCCCCCCTCCCGCCCTCATCTCAGGAAGCTTAGGGAGTACTGGGACACATTGCGCTATTTTCCAAAGCCCTATCCCGAGACCCGACCTCACCTGGGTTTAGTCTTAGGGAGTTCTCTATATTCACCTGTGTTTGAGCAAGGAGTTCGATGCCCAGTACATTTGTGGCTCCCTTCTTGTGGCTCGGCTGGGTGTGGAGGGTTTGGGGTTTAGGGTTCCGGGTCCCGAAACCTCCGAGCATTTTTCCCCAAGGCCCCAGAGGCTTCTGCCTTATGCAGCGGCTGCGAGTCCCGAATTTGCACAAGCTCTTCGAAGCCTCATCCGCTTCCGGAGCGTGCGTGAACCCTAAGGCCTACGCCCTAAGCCCTAAGCACTAAGCCCTAGACCCTAAACCCTAAACCCTAAACCCTAAACCCGAAACCCGAAACCCTAAACCCTAAACCCTACACCCTACACCCTACACCCTGCAACCTACACCCTACACCCTACACCCTACACCCTAAACCCTAAACCCTAAACGCTACCGCTCTCCAGCCGAGGTCCTTCTGGGATTTGTGCTGGTCAGCGTGGCGCAGCAGGCATCTTAGGTTTGATCCTAGGTTTGAGGTTTAGGGTTTAGGGTTTCGGGATTGGGGTTTAGGGTTTAGGGTTTAAGGTTTAGGGTTTAGGGTTTAGGGTTTAGGGTTTAGGGTTTAGGGTTTAGGGTTTAGGGTTTAGGGTTTAGGGTTTAGGGTTTAGCGCTTCATGGTTTCAGGTCAGGCGCAAGGTGTTGCGATGTGGGGGGGAGTTCAGGGCGGCAAAGTACCAAAGGGTTCAGGAGCTGGGGGCTGCGGTTTAGGGTTTAGGGTTTTGCGGTTTAGGGTTTAGGGTTCAGGGTTTAGGGTTTGGTACTCGGGACCTTCGGGAGTTTGGGCTGTCTTGTCAGCAGTCCCTGCAGATCTGGTCGCGCCTCTGGGCCAGCGATGAGTCGAGCTGCTCTGTGCGAGTCTCAGGCGACGTTTCTTTTCGGGACGGAACAGACAACCCCCCCCCCCCCCTTCAACCCACAACGCATGGTGGATAGGGGGGCCCAAAGAGACAGCCTCAGCAACGACCCCCTCACCCCTAAAGCCCAAACCCTGAGCCCTCAAAGCACCCCGAAACCCCGAAAGGCCTTCGAGTACCACACACACACCTACGTACCCTCAACCCTCCACTCTCAACTCTCAACCCTCAACCTTCAACCCCCAGGCCGTAAACCCTAGACCCTAAATCCCTAAACCCTTAAACCCTTAAACCCTTAAACCCTTAAACCCTTAAACCCTTAAAGCCTTAAAGCCTTAAACCCTTAAACCCTTTTTCCCCTAAACCCGAAACCCGAAACCCTAAACCCTAAACCCTGAACCCTGAACCCTAAACCCTAAACCCTAAATCCTAAATCCTAAACCCTAAACCCTAAACCCTAAACCCAAACCCTAAACCCCTAAACCCTCCCTTTTTTTGAGGGGGGAGAGTTCCCGAAGACTTCCGAGGAGAGCTCCGAGGAGTGATAAGGCATCCAGGCCGAAGGGAAGTCCGGGCAGCGCTGGCGCCTGGGGCTCTGGGGTTTAGGGCTTAGGGTTTAGGGTTTGGGGTTTGGGGGTCTAGGGTTTAGGGTTTAGCTTGAGGGTGGGTATTTGTGGGGGGTGTCGTGCTGGGACAGGTGTAGAAGCACAGGCCCCGGGCCTCTCGGCAAAGGCCGCAACAACCTCGCCGGAGCCTCCTGCAGACGATCATGATCGGCCGATATCGGCCGCAGGGCGAGGACGCGCTGCACGATGCGCGCCACGGAGGTGATGATGGGAGAGTGCTGTCCTTAGGATCAACGCGTTTTCAGCCGATGTTCCGAAGCTTACAGCCTCTTATCGTGGGCAGTGGTCTGAGATTGTTCGTGAACTTAGCACAGGCTGGCAAGACCGTGGATCCTAGAAAGGTAGGCGGGACTCAGCCGAAGTTCCTGCGCGATGGACGCGCGTGCTGCTTGCCCCATGGAGTGGACCAACGCTTTCGGCTGCATCGTTGTGCGCATATGCTCGAGTGCATGTTGTGAGGGGTGTTTGGGTTTATGGGATCCTGATGTGTCAGAGGCGCACCATGTGTGGAGGACATGTCCAGGTGTTCCAGGTTAGCCTCAATGCTCAGAGCTTCGTGGCTCTAGCAGCTCTTTACGGAGCTTACCAAGTCAACCTACTCTTCTTGAAGTTCTTAAACTCATGGAGTAGCGAGGCGCTTGAGGGCCAGTGGCCTTTCTTGTGTGGAGTCATAGAGCTCCCCCAGTGACTCCCAATGGCTTAGGGCTTGGGGAGGGTCGAGCTGACGAACCGCCCCCCCCCCCCCCCCCCCGGTTTAGGGTTTAGGGTTTAGGGAGTTTGGAGTTTAGGGTTTAGGGTTTAGGGTTTAGGCCCCCCCCCCCCCCCCCGCTCCCTCCCCGCCAAAAAACTCATGGAGGTGTGCAGAAGGGGGCTGACGTGAGCCGCCCTCAACTCTTTGTGGGATTGGTTATATCATGTCATATCTGTATATTCTCCCAGTACCAGAAACCTTGGGTCCTTGGGTTATACCACTTGCAAGCTGGCTTACCAAACTTGGGGGGCACTACGTGGTTGTTGGCGGTTGGTGGATGAGCCTTTACACAAAATGTATTCAGGTACTTCCGAAACTGGTGATACTCCCAAGGCCACCCCATGATTCCGTGTCTAAGCAGGTATCCTCCAGGTAACTCATAGACTTGCGGCACCCCTGTCTTATCGGAAACCACCAGTCAACGCATAGTGTCTGCACAAGCTGATTCCATCAATCAACAGAACATGCTAGGGCAGGCGATACGGTATTGCCACACCCTAAACTCAACCCTCAACCTCAAGCTCAACCCTAAACCCTCAAGAACCCTAAACCCTCGAACCCTGAACCCTAAACCCTAAGTCCTAAACCCTGAACAAACGGCCTGAGCTTCCCCAATTCCCCCCCCCCCCCTTACTTGGGCCTGCAAAAGGAGCGCCTCGGTCCTTGGCGCGATTGGCCTGGCAGGCCTCCATTCATCATCAGGTGGGGTTCATATTGTTGGCTAGGGTTTAGGGTTTAGGGTTTAGGGTTTAGGGTTTAGGGTTTAGGGTTTAGGGTTTAGGGTTTAGGGTTCAGGGTTCAGGGTTCAGGGTTTAGGGTTTAGGGTTTAGGGTTTAGGGTTTAGGGTTTAGAGGATAGGGTTTAGGGTTTAGGGTTTAGGGTTTAGGGTTTAGGGTTTAGGGTTTGGGGTTTGGGGTTTGGGGTTTAGGGTTTAGGGTTTAGGGTTTAGGGTTTAGGGTGTAGGGTTGTTTAGGGTTCAGGGTTCAGGGTTCCAAAACCCAACGTGCCGAAGCAGAGTTCATGGGGTTTTAGGGGACCCTGAAGCCCTAAATCAAACCCGAAACCCTAGACCCCAAACCTGAGACCCCAAACCCTAAACCCTAAACCCTGAACCCTAAACCCCAAACCCTAAATCCTAAACCCGAAACCCTAAACCTAAACCCTAAACCCTAAACCCAAATTTTAAAGCCTAAACCCTAAACCCTAAACCCTAAACCCTAAACCCTAAACCCTAAACCCTAAACTTTTCAACAGCAGGTGCAGCGGCCGCGTCTGCACGGGGTCCCGGCTCTGTTTGCGCTAATAGTCGGCATAGTTTGGAGTTTAGGGTTTAGGGTCTAGGATTTAGGGTTTAGGCTTTCCGGTCTTCTTCTAGGGTTTAGGCTTTCCGGTCTTCTTCTAGGGTTTAGGGGTTCAGGGTCTCACACCCACTCCACACTTTTGAAGTCTAGGCCACCTGCTAAGCTGCTTAACCCTCAACTCCTTGAACCTATACCCCAAAAACATCCTAAACCCTAAACCCCCTAAACCCTAAACCCTAAACCCTAAACCCGAAACCCGAAACCCGAAACCCGAAACCCTAAACCCGAAACCCTAAACCCTAAACCCTAAACCCTAAACCCTAAACCCTAAACCCCCCCCCCCCCCCTAAAAGCCAGCGCGGAGGAAGACTCCATCTCCTGCGACAGCGGCGAGCGGTTTCGTCTCCTGGAGCCACTCCGGGGAGCCGGGGGCCCGAGGGGCTTATGGGGCTGATAATCGTTTAGGGTTTAGGGTTTAGGGTTTAGGGTTTAGGGTTTAGGGTTCAGGGGGGTTGGGGGTTGGGGGTTCAGGGCTTTAGGGGTTTTTAGTGTTCAGGGCTGTAGGGGGGTTTTATCGGGTTTCTAGGGAGGGTTTAGGGTTTACGGAGTTTAGGATTTCAGGGATGGGTTTCGGGGATCTAGGTGTTCAGGGGTTTAGTGAGTCGGTGAGCCGGATGCGACAGGTCGATTTAAGAGTCATTCTCCGTGTCTCCGTGCTTGGATAGAACCCAAAGCTTCACAGAATCCCCTATGCCCTGAGCCAACCTCCTCCCCCAACCCCCTCCCCCACCCCCAGACCCTGAACCAGCCCCAAAATCCCCGAAGCCCAAAACCCTGAACGCTAAACCCCTAAACCCTAAACCCTAAACCCTAAACCCTAAACCCTCAACCCTCAACCCTAAACCCTAAACCCTAAACCCTAAACCCTAAACCCTAAACCCTAAACCCTAAACCCTAAACCCTAAACCCTAAACCCTAAACCCTAAACCCTAAACCCTAAACCCTAAACCCTAAACCTAAAACTCTATAAACCGTCTCTCAACCGTTTCTAAACCCCAACTTCCTCAACCTTTGGGCCTAGATCCCCCAGCTTCCCTTAGTGACGGATTTCGGGCCGGTCCTCTAGTCTGAGGATAACATGGGGGGCAGTTGAGGTCTTAGTTTTTTGGGCGGTGGGGGGAGGGGGGGGGGGCTACGTACAACCTAAACCTTTGAACCCTAAACAACCCTAGACCCTAGACCCTAAACCCTAAACCCCCTCATCCCGAACTCTGGGAAGGTGGCCTCCCCTGGGAGCTGCAGCTGGTCGCCTCCTTGGCATCCAGGTGTTCGGGGTTTAGGGTTTGGGGTTTAGGGTTTGGGGTTTGGGGTTTAGGGTTTAGGGTTTGGGGTTTGGGGTTTAGATGCTTCCGACCGAGGTTTAAGGAGTCGGAAGTGGGGGCTTCGAGGTTTGGAGCGTTTGCCGTAGTCTTCGAAAACAAACCCTTGTGAGCCAGGCAAAGGGGCACCCTGCTGTTTAATTTCTAGGCTGCTGGGCAACTTTGCTACCCGAAGCGCCAAACTCTAAACCCTCAACCCAAAACGGTAAACCCTGAGCCCTACTTGGGGTTCAAACCCAATTATACCCACCTTAGGCTACATAAGCTTGGTAGCCCAGTGGTACCCTTTACCCTTTTTTTGGTTCGGGGTTCTCTTATAAAGTAACTAACCAAAAAAGGGTGCCCTCAGTATAAGATGGTTACAGTTAGAAGTACCCTAAACCCTAAACCCTAAACCCTTAAACCCTAAACCCTAAACCCTAAACCCTAAACCCTAAACCCTAAACCCTGGCTTCTACGTCCCCTGAACCTCCAAGTGAGACCTGCATTGGGTTGAGCAAGGCAGCCGGTCGAAGGCGCCTCATTCCTGCCGGGCTACGCTGGAGGCGGGAAGACAAGCACTGGACCGAGCTGAGGGCGCCCCAAGATTGAGGCGGAGCAGGGTTTAGGGTTTAGGGTTTAGGGCTTAGGGTTTAGGGTTTAGGGTTTAGGGTTTAGGGCACTTGCACAGGATTGTTTGTTGAAGTAATGTGCAATCCTTAGCTAAGGAGCATTTGGCTCTTTCGGCCGCTGGTATGCCCCGAAGGCAACGTTGCTAACAGGATCACGAACGACTTGGAGAGCCCAAAGCGTTAAAGCCTAAACCCCTAAGCCCCAAAGCCCGAAACCGCAACCCGTAAACCCCCAAAGCTGCAAACCCTCAAGGTCTCCAAACCCCGAAACTTTAAAGCCACTAACCCCTAAAGTCCGAAAAACATCCGAAACCCCTAAACCCTAAAGCCGTAAACCCTAAACTCCCAAGCCCTAAGGCCTTAAATCCCTAAACCCTTAAAGTCCCAAACCGCTAAACCCTAAAGCCTTATACCCGAACCCCCTTCACCCTAAAGCCTTCAGCCCCTGAAGTCCCAAACCCCCAAGCCCCCAAACCCTGAACCCTAAACCCTAAACCCCCAACCCCGAAACCCCTAAACCCTAAACCCTAAACCCCTAAACCCTTAAACCCCTGAACCGTTTTGAAAGTCAGCACTGAATTGGGCATCGTGCGCCCTTGCAGGCGCGCCTGTTGCGGCCGGGTCGCTCGCCACCGCCAAGGCGCGGGCCGCGCCCTGCGGTCCTACTTTAGGGTGTAGGTTTTAGGGTTTAGGGTTTAGGGTTTAGGGTTTAGGCCTGAGGGCTTAGGGCTTAGGGCTTAGGGCTTAGGGCTTAGGGCTTAGAGTGCAGGGTAGGTATCCTAGGTAGAACCTTTCGATTGAATTGAGAGGGGGTTACCCTCTTGGATTCCTGCAAGGATTATAGGTCCATTATTGGGTTTAGGGCTTAGGAAGTTAGAGGTTGGGGTTTAGAGTTTGGGTTTAAGGCAGGCGGGAGTTGAGAGCTAGATGCCAGATCTAAGAACCGACAGATCGTGCAGGGATTCTAGGATTCAGGGCCTATATTCCTAGGTAGGATAAGGGGGGCCCTTAAACGGGAACCCCTTCTTTACCCTCTTCTGGCTCTCTTAAACAGAGACCTTATTCAGAGGGTCTATATCCAAATCCTATCCCCTATATATTAAATTAACCTACAAAGATGATCAAGTTCCGTTCCGTTCCGGCTTTGCGGGCGGCAAATGTCCCCCGCCTATGGACTAGAGACAAAACCCAACCCTTTTGCTGCTAGGAATGACAAAATGGTAGAGTATGTACTGCAAAGTGGCTGGAAAGTTGGGCGGAGTGGGGGATTGGGGTTTGAAGTAGATACTACTCTACTAGGGTTCAGCGTTGAGGGGTAGATTTCACGTTTTCAAGGGAGGGGTCTGTCTTATACGGGCTCCACAATTCCGAGAATACTTAGGGTCCCGTGAATCAGATAAGGATTCTGATGGGGCCTGTTGAGAGGTAGGGTTCAAGAGATACAAATTGAGGTCCAAGACCTGATTCAGTTCAGTTTGGGGAGCACAAGAGATGATTTGGAAGTCCTCATTGCTCAGGGTTTAGGGTCTGGAGTTTGGGGTTTAGGGTTTCTGTACCTGACTTCGAATCACTCAAACGCTCCGATCGCGACGCCGTGATCTGCTTCTGACTTCTCAAGCTTCGGGGGGTGGGGTTCATAAGTGCTTAGCGTTCTCGAGCATGCTTCTGGCGTTTCGGGCTTCAGGGTCTCAATTGGCCCATAAACCCCAAGCGCCAAGCCCAAACCCCCTTAAACCCTCGTGCCCTAAAACCTAAACCCTGAACCCTAAACTCTAAACCCGAAACCCGAAACCCTAAACCCTAAATCCTAAACCCTGAACCCGAGGAGGGATTCCGAAGCTCGCTTGCGCCAGGCCCACTGTGAGCTGCTCGGTCCAGGCCTCGGTGTGGTTGGTTTAGGGTTTAGGGTTTAGGGTTTAGGGTTTAGGCTTTAGGGTTTAGGCTTTAGGCTTTAGGCTTTAGGCTTTAGGCTTTAGGCTTTAGGGTTTAGGGTTTAGGGTTTAGGGTTTAGGGTTTAGGGTTTAGGGTTTAGGGCTTAGGGTTAAGGGTTAAGGGTTTAGGGTTTCGGGTTTCGGGTTTCGGGCTTCGGGCTTCGGGCTTCGGGCTTCGGGCTTAGGGTTTAGGGTTTAGGGTTGGGATAATATTGTAAACAGGGTGGATGGAGGGTTGCAAATAAGGGTTTAGGTGGCTTCCTGGAGAAACATTTAGGGTTCTAGGGTTACGCCTTAAGCCCCAAACCCTGAACCCCAACCCTGAACCCTAAACCCTAAACCCGAAACCCACCCTAAACCCGAAACCCTAAGCCCCAAACCCAAACCCTGAGCCCCAAACCCTGAACCCCAAACCCTGAACCCGAAACCCTAAGCCCCCAAACCCTAAACCCTAAACCCGAAACCAGTGCCCCAAGCTAGACTCAGGTTCCAGCTGCTCCGGGATTACCTGGCAGCCATGCAGGCCGAACTCTAAGGAATGCTGAGGGCTACAGAGCTGCCCAAATGCCCGGAATTTAGGGCTTAGGGTTTTAGGGTTTTAGGGTTTGGGCTTTAGGGTTTAGGGTTTAGGGTTTAGGGTTTAGGCTTTAGGGTTTAGGGTTTAGGGTTTTAGGGTTTAGGGTTTAGGGTTTTAGGTTTTAGGGTTTAGGGTTTAGGGTTTAGGGTTTAGGGTTGTCGAGCAACCCCTACCTCGAGCCCTAATCCTTGAACCAAGAGACCCCCAACCCCTGAAGACTTAAGCAGCCTAAACCTGTTGACCGCTAGCGCCCGATGACAGAAGGTACCGCACCTAAACCCTAAACTCTAAACCCTAAACACCCGAAAAACTAAACCCTAAAACGCACCGGGCAGTGCTGCAAGAGCTGCTAGGGTTGAGGGTTTGAGGATTTAGCGTTTTGGGTTTAGGGTTTAGGGTTCAGGGTTTAGGGTGTAAGGTGTAGGGTGTAGGGTGTAGGGTGTAGGGTGTAGGGTTTAGGGTTTAGGGTCTTGGGTGTAGGGCTTAGGGTTTAGGGTTTAGGGTTTAAGGTTTAGGGTTTAGGTTTTCAGGGTGGCTGCTTGAGCTTGAAAAACCTGCATACCAGCTGGGGCTGAGGTGGAACAGCGTCATGCTCTACTCCTTGCGAGAGGAGGCTGCTGGGAGGTTAAGGGTTTCGGGTTTAGAATTTAGGGTTTAGGGTTTCGGGTTTAGGGGAAGCCGGAGTTAGTCTTCTCCATCCGCAGACAGGATGCCATGGCCCATGTGGCTAGTGCCTGAATGGTGTTTTCGTATTTCTCATGCCAACATGCTATGTTAAAGTTGTGCCTTGGGATCTTCCCCCCTATACTTATACTAACAGTCCCTGATAGGGATTCTGGTACCCCCTCATATAACCCCCTCATATAATCGCCTATTAAGGACTCTTAGTATAAGGGGCAACATCCCAAGCTGTGCCCAAAAGCGCTACAACAGTCACCAGTTTTTGTCTTTGTTTGATGGGTTGGTCTTGTCTCGTTTACTTCATGAGAAGTCTTTCAGTGTCATTACAACGAGTGGGTAGAAAATTGCTGCTCGTGGTGTCATTCGTTTTGCCTTTCATTTTGCTTGGTCTTCCGTCTTCATTGAACCTCTTTCTGTCGCGTGGTCGTTTTGATTTTGGGGGGCGTCTACTTGCTTCATGAACCCAAAACCCTGCACAGTCCAGGTAGAATAAGCCCTGCACGCCAAACTGCAAACCCCAAACCTTAAACATGTCGGTGTCGAGGCGGAGCCCAAAGTGAGTCCACAGGCACGGCTGACAGAGTTGTTGTGCTTTAAGGTTTGGGTTGTTTAGGGTGGATAGGTCTTACTGGGCTTCTAAGGCTTATAGTCTTCGGGCTCATTGCCAACAGCGCATACTGTTACGTTTCAGTCTCTACACAAGAAGGGCCCCGATCGAGAGTCCAAAGGCCGGGAAAACTAGGCGGAAGACTCCGGAAGCCATTAGGGTTGAGAGTTTAGGGTTTAGGTTTTAGGGTTTAGGGTTTAGGGTTTAGGGTTTAGGCTTTATTAGGTGCCGCTGGGCCTTTGAATCTGCTACTGGGCTTCTCGAGTTCTGGGGTCTGGAGGGCTTACGGTGCTGAATTACCAGGTTTGCGGGGCTTATCGTAGGGCTTCTCGGATTTGTGGTGTGTTTAGGGCCTTCAAATTCGTTTAGACGGAGCCCACAAGGCCTTAGAGGGGGGGGGCTTCTAGGATGATCAGGGTTTGAGTCTTGGGGTTTAGGGTTCTTAGGCTCGGAATTCGGGTCCCTTTAGAGGGTCCGTTTTGCGCACGGTTGCGGAGTTCAAGTAAACCGGGGTATTGCGGGGTTTCTGTGCGACGAGACTCTTCAGTATCTGAGAGTTGCCGGGAGTTAGGTGTCCTTTTTGGGGTCAATAGCACAAGGGTTTAGGGTTCAGGGTTTAGGGTTCCTAGCAGAAGGGTTGCAGTTTGCAGTATGTTGGGGTTTATTCGGGAGACCCTATTTTCGGACTATTTCCCCCCGCCAGCTCATGTACTTCCAGCATCATCCTGATCTATGTTCGTGTAGTAGACCCCAAGCCCTAAACCCCCAAAAACCCCAAAACCCCAAACCCCCAAATCCCCAAACCCCCAAACCCCTAAACCGCACAGCAGGCGGGATGCTGGGTTAAGCCTTTGCTTGTGGATTCTGCTCTTATTCTCAAGGCCCATCCTTTTGGCCTGCAGCAACACCAGACTTACTTACCAACACAGAACCTCAAACCTTAAACCCCCAAACCCCCCAAACCCCCAAACCCCCAAACCCCCCAAACCCCCAAACCCCCAAACCCCCAAACCCCCAAACCCCCAAACCCCCAAACCCCCCAGACCTCCAAACCCCCCACCCAAACCCCCCAACCCCCCAAACCCCCCACCCCCCAAACCCCCCCCCCCAAACCCCCCAAACCCCCCAAACCCCCCAAACCCCCCAAACCCCCCAAACCCCCCAAACCCCCCCAAACCCCCAAACCCCCCAAACCCCCCAACCCCCAAACGCCCCAACCCCAAACCCCCAAACCCCCCAACAACCCCCAAACCCCCCAACCCCCCAAACCACCCCCCAACCCCCCAAACCCCCAAACCCCCAAACCCCCCAAACCCCCAAACCCCCCAAACCCCCCAAACCCCCCACCCCCCAACCCCCCACCCCCCAACCCCCCAACCCCCCAAACCCCCCCAACCCCCCAAACCCCCCAAACCCCCCAAACCCCCCAAAACCCCCCAAAACCCCCCAACCCCCCAAACCCCCCAAACCCCCCAAACCCCAACCCCCCAAACCCCCCAAACCCCCCAACCCCCCAACCCCCCAAACCCCCCACCCCCCAAACCCCCCAAACCCCCCAAACCCCCCAAACCCCCCAAACCCCCCAAACCCCTAAACCCCTAAACCTCTAAATCCGAAACCCAAAGCCTGAAACCTTTGTGCAGCCAGGGCGAGATCTCCTGGCTCAAGCTTTGCGGCGCCTTGTGCTGAGCGAGCCCTTGCGATCTGTGTTTTGGTTTTTAGGGATTTAGGGTTTGGTTTCGGGTTCGGGTTCGCTGTTTCCGCGCACCACCTAAAGAATCGTGACCCCAACACGCTTCCGACCTCAATCGTGTGACGAGTCGTCTGTCCTTTTGTGATGGTGACGCTGACCTGCTCGGCCCTTCCATAAAGCGCCCAACCCTCAGCCGTAGGGTTTAGGGTTTAGGGTTTGGTGTTTAAGGTTTAGGGTTTAGGGTTTAGGGCTAAACCACCAAACATCTGAGGCTGTGGAGAGTGGAGACGATGGCTGGCAGGACTGGTGAGGGCAAGTGGTTTAGGGTTTAGGGTTTAGGGTAGTGGCTTACAGCATCCACATGTCACATGTCTTTGCAGCTCTTGACCCGCGTGCCCGATCGCAGCCAAGAAACGGGGGCAGGAGGGGACCGGCTACACCAGAGTGGGCTGCAAAAACCCCACATGCAGGTAATACTCAGTTGGGTGTGTTTATGGGTGCCGATTCGATGGAGACCTAGTAGAATAGCCCCATTTGATCCATGACCTACGACCCTGGAAGCCTGAGCCCTTTCACCCTAAACCCTCTAACTCTACAATCGCTTCTTCTTTGACTCTATAGCACTGTACCTTTATAGCTACATAACCGCAAACCCATCCAGAATTCCATAACTCTTAACCCTTAAACCCTAAACCCAGGAACCCTAATCCTAAGCCCAACAACTCCATAACCCGCTAACCCTGAAAGCCTAAACCCGATCATCAACTCCATGCCCGAAACCCACAACCCTACAACCGATTATTTAGAACTGCCCCACCCGAAGCCGTAAACCCTAAACCCTAAACCCTAACCCCTAAATCCTAAACCCTAAACCCTAAACCCTAAACCCTAAACCCTAAACCCCAAACCCTAAACCCTAAACCCTAAACCCTAAACCCTAAACCCTAAACCCTAAACCCCAAACCCTAAACCCTAAACCCTAAACCCTACGGAGCCCGAACCCTGGGAGGAGCCCCCAGGGCCGCCTGGAGTGGAGCAATGCGCTGAGGGCTTCCAGGTGGGGAGACTTCTGGGGGCCCTGAACCCTAGACCATGGGGTTTAGGGTTTGGGGTTTAGGGTTTAGGGCTTAGGGCTTAGGGTTTAGGGTTTAGGGTTTAGGGTTTATAAAGTAGCCCTCAACCCTAAACCCTAAGCCCGAGGGTTTTGGGGTGACTTTCTGGGGCCTCCAGGATTCTCGGGCAAGCCTTTCGTTGTTGAAAACGCCTTGTGGCCAGGTTTTGAGAAGGTTGTGCATGGATGCAAGTAATACAAGGGCCCAAATTCTTGCCAGCGTCGTGTGCGAGAATCCCTAAAATAATCCTATCCGCCCCGAGACCAAAAGCGCAAAAAAGGCCCCCTAAACCCGAAACCCTAAACCCTAAACGGTGGATCCTCTATGGCTTGACGCGGGGGGAGCTGGGAGGATGATGAAGAGTTTAGGGTTTAGGGCGGGTCCTGGCTGGCTCGTGGACCAGCCCGTTGGCGGACTGTCTGGGAGCAGGTTGTCATGTTTTACTTGTTCCCCCTGTTCTCTGCGCTAGTCGGCGGGCGGCCTCGATTTTGTCAGCGCTTGTTCTCGGGCTAGCACGCAGGAGCTGCGTATGTCCGGGTAGAAACTCATGCGAGACCTGAATCTACAGGACTCCTAGAAGTAAACGGAAGTACTGATTCCGCTTACACAATGGCTAAGAATAAGGAAAACCTCCGAAGACCTAACCCTACATCCTAAACCCTAAACCCTAAACACCATCATTTTCGGGACAGCCCGCATTGTTGCCCCTAGGCGCTGCGGGTGGCTGCGGAAGAGTTACGCGGACCTGCTTCAAGCGTTCAAGGATCCAAAGACTCCAAGGTTTGCAGGGGTTTTAAGTGCATGGAAGGGTTCCAGAAGGCTTCTTTCAGGGTTTTCACGGTTTTGAAGCACATTATAGGGTCCTTAAGGGAGGGGGCTCATGGGGTGGAGGTACCTAGGGCACGGGAAGCTCAGGGAGGCTTCGGAAGTGGTGGGGAATGTTAGCGAAGCCTTGGGCTACCTAACCCCTCGAACTCTCCCCCCTTAAGAACCCTATAATGTGCTTTAAGGGTGGTTTGGGGCTTCAAGGGATGCATGTTTTTGGTCTTAGGATTTTTTTGGTGTTGGGAACAACAGGGTCTCATATGGTCCTAGGGCGCCCAACAAAGGTCCAGAACTACGCGAATGCCATTACGGTTAGGGCTTCAGGGTTTAGGGTTTTAGGGTTTTAGGGCTTTAGGGTTTTAGGGTTTTAGGGTTTTAGGGTTTTAGGGTTTTAGGGTTTTTAGGTTTTAGGGTTCTAGGGTTTTAGGGTTTTAGGGTTTTAGGGTTTTAGGGTTTTAGGGTTTTAGGGTTTTAGGGTTTTAGGGTTTTAGGGTTTCAGGGTTTCAGGGTTTCAGGGTTTCAGGGTTTCAGGGTTTCAGGGTTTTAGGGTTTTAGGGGTTTAGGGTTTTAGGGGTTTAGGGTTTTAGGGTTTTAGGGTTTTAGGGTTTTAGGGTTTCAGGGTTTTAGGGTTTCAGGGTTTCAGGGTTTCAGGGTTTCAGGGTTTTGGGGTTTTTAGGGTTTTAGGGTTTTAGGGTTTTCGGGTTTTAGGGTTTTAGGGTTCTAGGGTGTTAGGGTGTTTGGGTGTTTGGGTTCAGGGTTGAACCTGAAGCCGGCTTCCGTTTTGGAGGGCTGGGATTCAGCATGTAGAAAAGCACCTTGGACTGAACCCTCGGTTTCGGGTTTACGGTTGAAACCCCCAAGCCCCTCAATGCCCTCAAGCCCTCAAGCCCTCAAGCCCTCAAACCCTCAAACCCTCAAACCCTCAAACCCTCAAACAGCCCGTTCGCCTTTTAAACCCTTCCTGAAACCCTCCACCCTACCCAAAGGCTCCCATGTAGTACCTTTTTGGGGCAGTATACTAGAATCCCCTATAACTAACCCAAAACGGAACTACATTGGAGCTTTTGGGTAAACCTAAGCCTAAAATTGTTCGTAGATTGCGGACAGAAGCCCCTCCCGCACGTCACACCAGGTTCTACGACTCGGGCGTGGATGGAGCCTCAGTTCCTCTTGCCCGTAGCCGTGGTGAGTCTCCAACCCCAAAATCAAAGGGCGCGTGAACTTGGGGTTTAGGGTTTAGGGTTGAAGCCCTAAACCCCAAAAAGCAAACTTAAGAACCTTCCCAGGTGAATGTCAACCTTCTCATCAACATGGGAAACGCTGGAGCCTGAAAGACTGCGACGTCCGGGTCACGCATATATCAGTCAATATATAAAACAAGTGTTTATGTATATACACATGTATTGTAATATGTATATATACATATGTAGGTATGTAGGTATGTCGTATGTGTTTTGACATGCATATGAAAAGTTGATGTCGGCATTAACATAGTAGTTTAAGAGCAGGTAGCAGCAGAGCTAATTTTCAAGAATAGCAATAATGTTAAAGCTCATATGGGTCCCGTTTGGGGTCCTATATATAGTACGGCGCCCTTGCAATAGGGACGCCATTAAGGGACCCTAATTTACAGAACTACCCATGGGAACACGAAGGCAAGGTTTTGCAGATCGTAGTTCGGATCTTCCCCCTTGTCAGCGAGAGTGTAGCTATTACCCACGGTTCGAGTTCACAGATTCGGGGGTCTTGTGGCGTAAGAAGGGCCACAGTACCGATGATGACGTGACTTCGTAGTCGGCCTTGTTCTGCGGACAAGACGCGTTTGAGTCCTAGAGCCCCTAAACCCTGAACCCTAAAACCCAAACCCTGAATCCTAAAGCCGTAAACCCTAAACCCTAAACCCTAAACCCTAAACCCTAAACCCTAAACCCTGAACCCTGAACCCTGAACCCTGAACCCTGAACCCTGAACCCTGAACCCTGAACCCTGAACCGGCCCAGGTCTTGCGTGCTGCAGCCAGCTCGGGAGGTTCCTCCGCGATGTTTTGGGGGCTCGGGCATGGGGAGAGAGTACAGGGGGGTTAGGGTTTATAGGGTTTAGGGTTTATAGGGTTTAGGGTTTAGGGTTTAGGGTTTAGGGTTTAGGGTTTAGGGTTTAGGGTTTAGGGTTTAGGGTTTAGGGTTTAGGGTTTAGGGTTTAGGGTTTAGGGTTTAGGGTTTGGGGCTCAGAGGCCTGGAAGCCTAACAGGTTTTACCTGACTTTACTCAAACCCTAAGCTTAGGGTTTCGGGTTTAGGGTTTAGGGTTTAGGGTTTAGGGTTTAGGGTTTCGGGTACACTCAGGAAGCCTCCACGCTCGAAACGGACCCAAGCGCGCCACCCAAGCATCCTTAGCTTAGGGGCAGCCCCCTACACTTTGCGGGGTTCCAGTGCAACACGAAACCCTGCAGTTGCACCTTACTTGGAGGTTCAGGGCACTTAGTAAGTATGATTTTATGCGCCTGAACTCCTTAAATGGGGATGTAAGTAGTTATAAGTGTGGCTGCCTTACTGAAAGCCCCACTTACTAAGACCCCTGAACTTTTAAGTATGCCTTTCAACTGAGTTCTGCAGAGGAGGGGGGTGCTTGAGAGCAGCCCACATCTAAGATTTTGTTCTTCATCCAGCTCACCCCCCCCCCCCCCCCCCCCCCCCCCAGTTGCCTCAGGATGGCACCACATTGCGGCACACTGTGTACCTGCCGTGCTGCAGACCCTCTTGCTTCGATTGGAGGACCAGTAACGCTTAAACCCTAAACCCTAAACCCTAAACCCTCAACCCTCAACCCTCAACCCTCAACCCTAAACCCTAAACCCCCCAGGTTCCGAAGAACCCTCAGCCCCATTCGGCCCGACATCCTCTGAAGCTCCTAGACCGTGACTCTGCGTAGGTTCAGGGTTTAGGGCTAGAGTTTAGGGTGTAGGGTTTAGGGTTTAGGATTTTGGGTTTAGGGTTTAGGGACTAGGGTTTTGGGAGGTTGAAAGGCATGTTTTCCGGTTTGCGATCAAGGTTTAGGGCTTAGGGTTGAGGATTTGGGGTTTAGGGTTTAGGGTTTAGGGTTTAGGGTTTAGGGTTTAGGGTTTAGGGTTTAGGGTTTAGGGAGGGTAGTCTACGCCAGGATCGAGGGTTGAACTTCAGTGGCCTTTCGACACTGAAGCCCCGCAATATAAACTGCAAACCCCGACGCCTAAACCAAAAACCATTTTCAAAAAATTGGCCGAATTGGCAGGAGCGATTCTTCATAGACCACACCGAGCAGTCAAGCCTTGAGGTTCACACAGAGCATGAGGGATTGAGGGGTTTGGGGTTGAGGGTCCTTTGGGGCTGAAGGCGTCGGGTTCCGGGTTTGGGGTTTAGGGTTTAGGGTTTACGGTTTAGGGCTGAAAGTTTCGGGTAGTAGGGTTGCAGTTCTGGAGTTGGGTGGTTGAGAGCCTGTAGCCGCTGAGGATTGCTGGGACATTGTATATACTCTCCGTAGACCTCTTTAGGGGCTCATCCAGTCTACCCATATCTCCGAAAGAACCTCTAAGTTACTACGGAAAGCCGACACCGTCCCAAGCCTGAATCCAAAAACCGAAGCAAGGCCCATCTTTTCAACACAGGACGCCGCGCTGCTTAGATTGCGTGCTCCCTACACACCCTCTGCACCCCAACGAGGACGCCCCGTATACCCTAAACCCTAAGCCTTATGCCCTGGTAAATGCCTAGCCTTGTGGGACCTGGGCCCAGGAAACCTACTTTGACATCCTGCACCACCTCCTTTCAATAGGATTGGCCGGGGCCGTGGGCCGTGTTGTGTGTTGTCAGCATCGATTGCCCACGGGAGTGGGGGGGCTGAGGTTGCGGCCTTTAGGGTTTAGGCTATTAGGCTTAGGGTTTAGGATGCAGGGTTTGGGGGTTCAGGGTTGAGGGTTTTGGGGTTAGGGTTTAGGGTGTAGGGTTTAGGGTTTAGGGTTCCGGATTGAGGGTTTAGGGTTTAGGGTTAGGGCAGCCTTCTTGGAGAGGAGACTCCCACGTCGTCGTGGCAGAAACGTCTGGCCTGCTGGGATTCACGGCCAAGAGTGGAGGGCACCCCTAAACCCTACACCCTACACCCTAAACCAAACCCTAAACCCTAACCCTAAACCCTAGATCCTAAACCCTAAACCCTCAGCCCTAAGCCCCAACCCCCTAACCCCCTAACCCCCTAACCCCTAACCCCTAACCCCCTAACCCCCTAACCCCCTAACCCCCTAACCACCCCCTAACCACCCCCTAACCACCCCCTAACCACCCCCTAACCACCCGTAACCACCCCCTACCCACCCCCTAACCACCCCCTACCCCCAAAAAACCCCCTAAAAACCCCCTAAAAACCCCCTAAAAACCCCCTAAAAACCCCCTAAAAACCCCCTAAAAACCCCCTAACAACCCCCTAACAACCCCCTAACAACCCCCTAACAACCCCCTAACAACCCCCTAACAACCCCCTAACAACCCCCTAACAACCCCCTAACCCCCTAACCACCTAACCCCCCTAACGCCCTAACCCCCTAACCCCTAGCCCCTAACCCCACGCAAAAAGGGAGTAAACCTGGGCTTTGGTCAGCTTTGGGGTGTACAATGGGACCTGACTTTAGGGTTTAGGGTTTAGGGTTTAGGGTTTGGGGTGAGGTTCGGGCTTAGGACCTCGTAAGGCTTCATCACTGTCGCAGAGACATGTAACATATCGCGTTTAGACACCTGGCCACATAGGACAGAGCATGCGAGATGTTGCTAGCCACCTGCAGTACTCGGGCCTGCTTAAAGGCTTAGCTATACCTGAAGTCCTCACACGCGAGCGTATGAAGACTCTCGCTTGCTGTGCACTGCCGCGGCCACTGCAGCATAGGGCTCCAAGCTTTGCTAGAGTCTTCATTGCGATCTTGCTCCACGGCCTGTTCCGAGCAATCGCCGAGACCCAACGGTCTCGGCCACTCTGATTCAGGTCAGCAAACATGGGCTGCAGCCAGAGCTCTGAGGTCGCCACACATCAGGTGGTCACCACGGGACACGGACACCGCTATCCGACGAAAGAGGAGATGATCAACATCAACAACAAGGTCGCCAAGCAGATGCTTTCTGGCCAAGGCGCCGAACCTAGACCTCCTCACCTGTGATCCGAACCCTAACCCAACCAAGGCTCCTTTTGTGCGTCCAGGGTATTCTTGTGAGGGCTCCTTCGTGCCCGGGGTTCTTCGGCTACGACCGTAAAGACCATCGCGGGCTTCTTCCTTGGGCTGACCACCCTAAACCCTAAACCCTAAACCCTCAACCCTAAACCCCAAACCCTAAACCCTAAACCCTAAACCCTAAACCCTAAACCCTAAACCCTAAACCCTAAAACTTAAACCCTAAACCCTAAACCCTAAACCCTAAACCCTAAACCCTAAACCCTAAACCCTAAACCCTAAACCCTAAACCCTAAACCCTAACACCTAAACCCTAAACCCTAAACCCTAAACCCTAAACCCTAAACCCTAAACCCTAAACCCTAAACCCTAAACCCTAAACCCTAAACCCTAAACCCTAAACCCATCTGTCGGTGTGGGTTCGGGACTTTCATGGTTTGGGGCTTGTGGCTTGGGGGAGTCATTGTGCACGTGTTCGTATTCGACCTTTGTACACACATATATATATATACATATATATATACATATATATATATATATACATATATATATATATACATACATATACATGCATACATGCATATGTATATAGGGAATTGCAGGTATGTATGAATAAACAAACATATCCTGTATGTATATGTACATATACATAGCTTTTGATATACGTATCTGTATTTGTATATTCGTATGTATGTACGACCATATAGCCCCCCCCCCCCCCCCTGAAGGACCCGTGAAATCCCCAACTCCAGAACCAAAGCTCCAAAAAGGCGAAAGCTCCAAATATTCCAAGGTCAGAACCCCAACTTTTTCTTGTAGAAACTCCGGCGAGGTTTGGATCTTGGATCTGCGCAGTTTTGCCAAGGAAGATGTCTGAAAAAGCTCATGTTTAGCCACGCAAGCACGCACGTGGCCCACAGAAGGAAGCACCAGTGTAGCCAACAAAGCGCATGCTTGGCAAACAAAACACCAAGTTTTTCGGCTCTGTTTGCTAAATGCGCTTTGCTAGGTGTTTTTCCTAGGAAAAAATAGTTGCACACCTCCAAAACCCAAAAACGCCAACTTCGCTGGAGGTTCTCCTAGACAAGTTTAGGTTGTTTGGAATTTGGAATCGTGGAAGTTGGGAATTTTAGGTTTGTTGGATTTGAGAAGAGGGGTGGCCTTTCTATTAAACACCAAATAATCACAAAGACTACACAGAGGGTTCAGGGTTTAGGATTTAGCGTTTAGCGTTTGAAGCTTAAGCCTAACCATCAACCCTCCCCCTGCACGCAAGATGGGTAATCGTTCTGCATTGCCACAAGAGAGAGGCCGACCACCTGCCCTCCATCCCTTCGTCTCGTAAGCTCCCAAAAAGATCCAAGCCTTTTACATGCGGTTTGTCCGAAAACTTTGGATCGGATCCTTGATTTGCTTTGGAAGTTGGACTCCTGCAATTTGTTACTCTTGGAGCTTGGTTTTTTTTAAGAGGAGAACAGAGGACCCCCTGGTTCTTAGTAGGGAATGAGGGAATTAGGGCCCTATATATATATATATACCCTTTGAAGGGTTATATAGGGTACCTCATTCCCTCATTCCCTACTAAGAACCAGCCAGAGGAGTGGTGTATGTAGGGGAGGGGTCCCTTCACGAAGGAAAGCGGGGGTTTAGGGTTTAGGGTTTAGGGTTTAGGGTTTAGGGTTTAGGGTTTAGGGTTTAGGGTTTAGGGTTTAGGGTTTAGGGTTTAGGGTTTAGGGTCTAGGGTTTAGGGTTTAGGGTTTAGGGTTGTACTTCCACCAAAACATTCCTTGCGCTGGGGAGAGAGCATCCCCGGCCAGCCAAAGTGATCTAGCTAGTTCCCCTAAACCCTAAACTAAGTCCTAAACCCTAAACCCTAAACCCTAAACCCTAAACCCTAAACCCTAAACCCTAAACCCTAAACCCTAACCCCTAAACCCTAAACCCCAAACCCCAAACCCCAAACCCCAAACCCCAAACCCCAAACCCCAAACCCCAAACCCAAACCCCCTAAAAACCCTTGGTAACTGAAGATGGAAGAAAAAAGATGCCCGGGGAAAGTTTTCGAGAAGTCTCCAGTTGTCGGCCCCCAAAATGGCTCGGGCACTGTCCTTTGTCATAGTGGGGTAACATTTTACATTTTTAAGGGTACTTAAACTCAATAAGGAATAACATTTTAAATTGTCATTACCAGTGTCATCCAAGGAGGTCCTGGAAAGTGTCTGGTATCCAAGTACACCGGCTCCAGTTAACAACTGAAGAATTGACGGGCACTTCCCCAACACGAAGGGTGTAGGGTTTGGGCTTTTCATTTTCAAACTTCAGTTTAATTTTGCCAGTTCGTTGTTGAACTAAGATTTAACAAAATTTTCCCGGCGAAGATTCAACGAGCACTTTCCTTAGGATCTTCAATCTTCAGTTTCAGTTGCAGCGGATCGATAATCGAGGCTGCTATTCGAGAAAGACTTAGAACTGTCGCGTGCTTTCAGCATCTTTCAGCGCAGCAGGGGTCCTCTACCCTAAACCCTAAACCCTCAGCCCTCAACCCCAAAACCTATTGGAATGCAGAGGCGCATGGTGAACCAAGGATTTTGTGTTGTGAAGCAGACGGTGTGGTAGGTGCAGAGACCTAGAAACGGTGGATCATGGGGTGGGGTCTTATTCCCTTTTTATGTTGTTGTTTAGGTTCCCTGAACAGCCCCTTTAAACGAAAAAGGGCACCCTTCGTATTCCTAGGTTACTCTTGGGTAAGTGTCTCTGCGTGTGTGTGTGTGTATGTATATATATATACACACACATCGTTTTGGTGTGCGCATGTCTTCCGTGAACCCTAAACCCTAAACACTTAAGAAACCCTAAACCCTAAATCCTTTAGAAACCCTAAACCCGAAAACATGAATTAAACCCTAAGCCCTAAACATAGCCTTGAACCGAATCGTGGAGGTACCCAAGACTCGTTGGATGGCAGCCGCGGCAGCACAAAATGTTCAGATTCCGATGCACAAAAGCTTCAAGACCTGCAGCGGTGCCACGTCCTGTTAAAGTTCAGGGTTCAGGGTTCAGGGTTCAGGGTTCAGGGTTTAGGGTTTAGGGTTTAGGGTTTAGGGTTTAGGGTTTAGGGTGTAGGGTTTAGGGTTTAGGGTTTAGGGTTTAGGGTTTAGGGTTTAGGGTTTGGGCTTTAGGCTTTAGGCTTTAGGCTTCAGGCTTTAGGGTTGAGGCTTTGGGCTTTGGGCTTTAGGCTTTAGGCTTTCAGACTTTAGGCTTTAGGGTGCGAGGAGTTAGGGTGTTAGGCTTCAGGTTCACGATGTTCGGGGGTTCAGGCTTTCAAGGTTTTAGGGTGATAGTCTTTAGGGTTCAGGGTGTTCGGGCGTTAAAGTTCGGGTTTTAGGGTTTTAGGGTGTTAGGGTTGGACGCCAGACATAAATTCCCGGGGTCCGAGACATGTTCTGCAGGGACTTGGGATCGACTTGGGAAAAGGATCGGGGTTTAGGGTTTAGGGTTTAGGGTTTAGGGTCTAGGGGGTCCAGGGTCTAGGGTTTAGGGTTTCTTCCCGCAATGCATCGCTGCCCGTTTTGTGCTAATTTCCGAGCCGGTCGCGCCATCCAGGTCAGAGGAGGGTTTAGGGTTGAGGGTTTAGGGTTTACGGTTTACGGTTCACGGTTTACGGTTTGCGGTTCAAGGGTAGTTGACAAGGTAGCCAAGTTTGTGAGGTTCCTTCAGCTTCTTGCAACCCGCCCTGAATGATCTGCAGCCCGCCAGGACAGATGGATAGGAATGGCCAGCGCCTCTTTTAGGGTTTAGGGTTTAGGGTTTAGGGTTTAGGGTTTAGGGTTTAGGGTTTAGGGTTTAGGGTTTATTGTTTAGGGTTTAGGGTTTCGCCTTGAG